TTCTGTTTAATTCCGAAGAGAGTAACACCGTTAATGGAACGACCGGGTTGGTTAAAGTGTTGAGCAACAGCGAGATCTTTTTTGGCGTTAATAGAAGATTTATGGTTGTTGAAACGTTCTCTAAGAGTTGTTTGTGTATGTCCTACATGTTGGTGATTGGATTCTTTACACTGTATAAAGTTAATGGTGTTTTGTATTCCACAAGTGACTTCTTTGGGAATTTTAAAGCTTCTTTGGTTGGGCTTGTCAGAAAATGAGTCAATAGTTTTATGAACTTGCAGGTTTGACAACAATCTTTATTGCATGGATGACAACCATTTTTGGTGAAATATAATTCACTTTTGTGTGAACCAGGATATCTATTAAGAGTTCTGCTTTTTCGGAAGGAGACAACGAGAACTTCAGGAAATATCTGTTTAAGGCGATCGTTCAGTAGTAGGAGATGAAAATGTTTTTCCAGAATTCGTGAAACATTTCTGAGTTGAAAGTGATAGGTAATAATAAGAGGAATTATATTTGAAACTTTAGTATTGTTCTGTTTTAGGATGATTTTCTGCTGAGTGTCATTAGCCTTTTTGATCTGTCTGTCAATTTTGGTATCTTTATATCCTCTTTGTAGCATAAGTTTGTTTTAGATCCTTGGTGTGTTTTCTGTAGTCTGTTTCATCTGAGCATATTTTCTTTATTCTCATTGTTTGACTGTAAGTAATGTCCATTTAGTGTGAGAGGGGTAACAGCTTTTATAGTGATGGTATTGTGGTCTGTCTGTAGGTTTTTTTGTATAAATCAGTGCGTAAAATTCTGTCATTTATAAAGATAGTGATGTCATGAATGTTAATTTTGGTAGGCGAGTAATCAAAGGTAAACTTGACTGTTTTGTGAAATAAGTTTACATGCGAGATAAATTCTTTAAGTAGTTCAAGACTGGCTGTCCAAATGAAAAGTGTCATTTATGTAACTTTTCCATATATGAGGTCTTACAGGGCTTAGTTGTAAAAGCTGGTTTTCAATATGACCCATAAAAATGTTGGCATATTTGGGAGCCACTTTTGTGCCCATCACAGTACGTTGACATGAAGGTAATGTTCATCATTGAATTCAGAGTTGTTCAGAGTTAAAACAAGAGTGGCAAGATTCAAAATATTGGAAGTGGAATTGTCACCAATAATCCTAATTGCACACAGGTGTAAACCGGTAAGTTGACAGGTGTTTCTCTCAGTACTTTACTAGTCGGATTTTGATTGGGTTTTTAGTCTTTACATTTTTCTAGTACTCAAACTCTAAATATAAACTAAAAATTTTCTTCTATGGGTGCACTTTAGAAAAGTATCTTTATTCCAAAATTTAATGTACTACTCTACTAAAAGATTTCAGAAAGAACACATAGCTTACTCATTCTTCTCGTGTAGACACCAATGTTTCACCAATCTTCCACAGTTGTAAAAATATATTCCATCTTCCTTTCTGTTCATCAGGTTTAGTCCAAAAATAAATAGTAATTCTTTCTTATCTTTCAGTGATCTTTAAGAAAAAAAGAAAAAACAGTTGTTTGTTAAAACTCTTCACATTACATAACTTCTGTATTTAGTGCAATATAACAAGTTTCACATAAAAACAAAACTCAGAGAGTTAGAGCAATGTTTGAGGTTTCATTTCCTAGCCAGGAATTTGAAGACAGTTCTAAACATTTGAATATTCTTCAGGTGGCATTCAAGCAATGTCAGATTTGATGTTTTTCCTCTTGTTAGGAGAAACTATTTGACGATTTTTGAAGAGTAATTAATCCTACATTAAATATCACTCAAATAGAAAAAATTTGATTTTTGGACTTGTATAATGCCCATTACTTAAACAAAAGTTGTTGTATTAAAATGCACACACAACATCAAAATGTTATACATAGCAGCTCATTCTATAAACTGGAGCAGAAATTTATGGTGGAGCACAAGGGGTTACATTTAGCAGCTGTATTGCTTCAGTAAAATGTACTGGATGCCTGATGTACAAGATGTAAGAGAAGTGTTACTGATGTACAAGATGTAAGAGAAGTGTTATGGTAGAATAAGTATAAAACATAAAATATATACCAACACAAAATAAATTTAATATTGAAAATGAAGCATCAGTGTAACTCTACCATCCCCCCTCCACAAGGCGGTTGTTTAAGTTAATCAACAATGTTGTTAAACAAATGTGACTGGTACTAACAATCTTTCTTGTAATTTTTGTTATAGTTTAAAATCTATGTTTATTTCCTAATCAAAGTGCTAGTGTTACTGTTTACTTATTATCAATATCATTAGTGATGTTCAAGTTAATCAACAATTTTATGTTAAAAGCTACTATGACTATTAACTTGCTTGGAATGGTGACTGCTAAATAAAGATTTGATTACCTTAAATCTCTTGCTACAGGCTCAGTCGAATTATTGACCCCACATTGACCCTTATAGTTTTCATATCTTCACAAAATTTTGCAAGCTGTCAGGAGTCATTATGTCTTTTGTAGATAAAAAAAAATCTGAATTTTTAATGAAGTACTTTCACTAAACATTTTCTCCATGAATATTTGGAGTCAAAGTGTCGACTGCTCCGAGTGTACAGTGATTTTTATGTTAAGATTAAAAATACTTTTCTTCACCTGAAAAATCTCAAATTTCATTTGTGTAATCTCTAAAACATCTTAAATAAATTTCAAATTTTTTTTCAGTGAATTTTTAAATTTCATTTGTTATTTTCTCTACCCTCACTCCGTACAAGGTTGGTCAAAAAATAAAAATTATTATTTTTCTTTTTTCTAAAATGACTTCAAATTGTAACATGAAACTACATTTGTTTATCCTAAATAGCTTTAAACTCATACAGTATACATCTGTTTATGCTTAAATTTTATTGTTTTATTGCCCTCTGTAACCATGCCACAGTAATATTCTCACCACAAAAGTTCTAAATCACTTGGGAAACCTTTTAGTCAGGTTACCCAATTGAATTACATAATGCACAGAAACAGTTGTACAACATCACCTGTACACTTTCACGAAAAAACTCCAGTCAGGACAGGCCTGTAAAGGACAAACATGGACAGACTGTCAGCAAAAAAGTAAACCAACAAGATAGATGGATTGAGCACTTCAAAGAGATTCTCAACAGAGGTCCCCCCTGCACAATGCTCAACCACCACACCAGCAGCTGAGCCCCTGAATGTCAACCCCAACTCCTTAACAAAGGAAGAG